TCATGACCCTTATGATACAGTCACAGTTTTAAAAGTGAGGAAACACATGTAGGTAAAAGACAAGATGGCCAGCCAGTCGGGGTTGTAATTAACCGGTGTCACTAACGAAGCTGTAAAGCCTGTTTCACAAGCCCCTAGCTGATGGAGCTGCCAGTGACACAAACCCAGGGCAGAGCCCCTCTGCAGCTCCACCTTCCTGCCTGCACTACAGAAACCCCAGTTACCACAGAAAAATATACATAATAAAATAAAATGCTTTGCAATCTTGAGGAAGTGATTAAAAGCACATAAGTTATGACATTTTATATTTCGATATAAAGTTTTCTATTGTTTACAAAGATAAATTGATACACATTTATATCATCACTGAAAACAAGCAGGTAGAAGAAGCATCTACCACTAAGGACACAGTACACAGACCCGCACCGTCCATGTGTAAGATGATCGGATGGGAATGAAGTGTGTGCCACTGGACACAATATGGCAGTGAGACAATAACATTACTGCCGTGTTTAAGAGAACACCATCTGAACATACTGAACCACAGAACCATGGGATCCGAATGCAGCAATTGCTGTCCACAGTAAGAAAACCAGCACGGTTTAATGTCTTAATCAGATATCAGAAGACGCGTATGTTGCTAATGAGCCCTTAGCACGTTGACCTGCAAACCTCCTGATATTCTGTGAACATTGCTTAATGCTCCACGGCGTCTGCTATGAGGCAATTCAGCCTGGTCCGAAAGAATAAACGAAAGAAGTCTAGTAAAGACAGAGTTACTCAATGTTCCTATAATTTGTCCATCTACAGATTTTGCAGTCCTTCTATGACAGTGATACAACGGTAGCAAGAAATCCTGTGGAGGAAAACCAAAAGGAATGAGGCTGATGAGCTAATGCAGTACCTCAAACAATTTACTTGTCATTTATAATGGAGCACAGTTGGCTAGGAGAGAAATGAAAGGATGCAAAGTCTAAAATTGAAACCACAAAGTGATGTTCTGGAGGAATGAAAATGAAGGCAGCAAAACAGAAAGAAAATTACTGCAAAGCATTTGTATTTAAACCCAGAATGTTTGAGTGCAGAAACATCTATTGTAAATTTTAATTAAAGTTCCTCCCTATATAAAAAGTTTCTCTACACAGAAAAGTAAAATGGAGGTAAGCAAGAACTTGCCTTTCAACTCGCAGGGTAATACCAGCATAGCTCTCTGATCAACCCATTTGTTATTATTATTCAGTTCATCCCAACCTACTCTAGCGGGGATTTAAACTAAGCTAGAAAGCCACCTTAATTTTGGAATTAAAATAACCCCATTGGGACTCAATTTGATACGCCAATTGAACTATCCCAGTTAAATAGTCAAATTGGTTTGAGGGAAGGAACAAGCCCTACACGAATATAATTGCCCTGTGACCCGTTAATGACAGAAACAATATTGTTTGTTGTTGCTAATGGAGAGAACAGTACTGGTCTGACAGATAGGCATGTCTTCTGCACCACACCAATAGCCATCTTTATAACCCAATAGCATATTAGAATTAAAGCTGACATTTTTAATATCTTCTTGTTGCCATACACTATTTGCAAACTGCGCATTAGGAAAGGATGCACATCTATCTCAGTTAATGTGAGTTGGGGACTTCTTAATGTCATTGCTGATTTATTATTATTACTTTAAGACTAACACCGTGCTTGGCACTAGAGAAAGCAAAAATTAAGACACCTTCTGCAGTGAAAAATGCAGACTGTAACAGATAAAAAAAGCTGGGAAGGGAGGGCAAGCGATAAGAAGGACCAAACATTTTCTAAGAATGCAGCTTTTAGGCCAACTCCTATGTTGATGCACACTTTTCCATCTGCACGGAGATACTGTCTGCACACTTCAAAAGTAAATAAGCTTTCTGTTATGGATGTATCCAAACGTGGTATTTAGACTAGGCTAAAATGTACCAGTAACTCTGGATGCTGAGAAAATAACACAGTCACTAATTGTACTTTGTACTTACCCAACTTTTCAAAATGCTGATGTCAACAAGCAAACGGCATCATGCTGTTCAACAGACAGAGAAATGGAGGCAAGAGCAGGGACAGGCAAAGGTCAATGAAGGAGCCTGGAGGGGAACTCAACAGGTTTTCTGAACACAAGTCCATTGTTTATAAGAGCCCATGGTTCACTGCTAAGATAATCCTGAAAAAATGGCCACATTTCGCTTTTATAAAGCAGCCAGAATGCAAGAAGTGTCAAACGAAGCTGTCACACCTCAAACCCACTACTGGCTCAGTAGGAAAGATCACATAAGAAATAGGAGAGGGAAAAAAAGCCAAGGAAGCTGTCTTCAGAAACAGGAGTTCGGAATAATGTATTGCCTGGTACCTGGGAAAGCACCAAACCCATTTTTTTTTTTCTGAACATGGCCAAAGAGATCTATTTTCAAATGGAAACGCATCCAAGGCATTTATGTATTATCATATGTGGTCTGATATTTTCCAGATAATGTTAATGGTCAAATGTTAATGGAGGTCTCAGAGCTAGAACCAAGGAAAGGGGAGCATGACACTAAGTGTGTCAAATTGCCCTGCCCCTCATATGGACACAGACAGGCAATTGTGGCCATTGGGAACCTGAGGAAGGAAAATGTCCCCAAATGGGAGGGCAGCTGGAACAGAAAGATTTATTCTTTTTCTTTTGGGGACTTCACAACTTCTGCTTCCAATTGTGGTGGGTCAACCCTAGCCAGCAGCTAAGCACCCACCCAGCTGCTCACTCACACCCCCCTTCCTCCATTCCTCTACCAGCGTGATGGGGCAGAGAACAGGAAGAGCAAAAGCCAGAAAACTTGTGAGTCAAAAAAAAGACAGCTTAAAAAGTGAAGAGGAAAAAAAAAAGAAATCAAGTGATGCAAAGGCAATAACTCATCACCTCCCACAAGCAGACTAATGCTGAGCTATTCTCTGAGCAGCCACCACCTTGGAAGACACCCCTCTCCCCCCCTTTCTTCCCCTACCCCCAGTTTTTACTGCTGTGCATGATGCTGTATGGTACAGAATATCCCTTTGGCCAATTCAGCTGTCCCTGCTGCGTTCCCCCCTCCTAACTTCTTGCCCACCCTCAGCCTATTCACTGGGGGGAGGTGGGGGCAGAGTGCGAAATAAAAAAGAAGGTTCAGCTATACTCAGAACATTGGTGTGCTACCAGCATTGTTAGAGCCATAAACCCAAACCACAGCACCATACCGGCTGGTATGAAGAACGTTAACTCCACCCCAGCCAGACCCAGTCCACCAACGTATAGGGTAAAAAAAAAAACAAGGAAAAGCATATGTAGGCAGAGGGCAAGCTCCTAAAAAGTTTAATGTTTGAAGTGTACACACTGGGCTTAGCGCTCTCTCAGGATTTGCTTCCTGAGCCAGGTGCAGCACTGACATCGTAGTAGCATGACTGGAGCCATTAGCTACTACAGCTGAGCAACAGACCAGGCAGAATGGGGTTGATTTGTCTTTCATCTCTGGAAGGGTTTTTTTCCCCCAAAAAAATACTCCCAGTAAAATGTCTGCACTCATTCTGGAACCATGTATGTTACCAGAGGCAGATCAACCCTTTACGGCCACAATACCAACTGAGGCAGGACATGACAGAGATTGAACCTCAAAAGCATAAATATTCTCTGACCTAAGATTGCTCCATATATGCAAAACTGCAAGAGGGGTCATTTAAATAGGTTGGAAAAGATTTTAAAGTTGGAGTATTTCTGTGTAATATGAATGTCTTTCACCTGCAAATTGCTCAGTCATACTTTGGGAAGCTGAAACTGTCACAGAATTTAGCAGAACAAACAGTAAACTGATTTAGAAAATATATTTTATTCATAAAATGAATAAACATTGGTGCATAGACAAAATATCTTGAAGCTAGATAATTTATTCCCTGAATACAAAACTCGGAATATTTTTGTTCTTCTTTCAATACCAAAACCCAAAATAATAACAGAAAAATAAGATGATATCCAGACTGGATGCTGGGAGGCCTCAGCTACTTGTCTTTGGATGTGTAAAACCCAGAGAAGGTGTCCAACACTTTGCAGGGTCACTTCCTACATTATGATCATTTAAGGAGTAAAGGCAGGCTAAACTTCCCTTGAAATTCAGGAATTTTCAAAGAACTCCTCTAACAAGAATATTCCCTCCAGAATCCATTCGCCCAAAACATAACTATTTTCCAAAAAGGTAGCACCTTTTTTATTTTAAGAGTTTAAAAGATGGACTTTGAAAAAGCCAGCCTACCTAAACAGGCTCTCTCCCTTTTTTTTTTTTTTTTTTCCCCCCCCTGTTTGGATACCTTTTTGTATACATTTTGAGAACACAATTGTCACACTGGGTCAGATGAACCATTCCAGTACCTGACTGATTTGCCAAGAGCAGCTGTTTAAGGAAAACTGCAGATAGGCGAGGCAGGTATGGGATAAGAACCTGGACGGATGAATGGTCCAAGAGAGACAGTTGATATTAAAGGATCACCACCTTCTAGTTCAAGAGCACTCCATCCCAATGAGCAGGAATTGAGGCAAAAATGCCAGGAGGCATCTTTTCTACTCCTTAGCCTATGCACTTATACCATCCTGTTCCCCTGGACAAGGAAAGGCAAAAATTGCTGTCAACTAAGTGAGCAATCCAGTCCAAAACCAAAAATGTTAACAGCTTCTGTGTTCCATGGGAATGCACTATCGCTCCCATGGAAGGCAGCTGAGCATCCACAACAGAGAATGACAACTTAGAGTAGCTGTATTGACTTGCTACAAGTATCTTTCACCTTCAGCAGTTTCTGCAAGGCCAGCCTTCATACTCATGCTCGTTTCTGAAGGTGAAGGAATAATTATTCCAAGTAACCATAAAACCTTGATTCTCAAAAATATTATCAATTTAAAAAAATCCTACATGAGGTGTAGAAGTAGAGACACTGTCTTCCTTCTCTCTCAAGAAGGAAGGTAAACCTTAATGTGGAAACAATATACATGATAAACATGCAAATTTGACAAAAAACAGATTTTGTATTTTAATTTTGGACTTCTAACTTTACCAGAACAAAGAAAGTAAAGAACTTATGTTAGTATCCATGACGTTAAGTATTTTAAAACTTTTTGCTACCAGTTGTGAATTTTCCTAAGGACATATAGGTCACTATCAAACACTGTCTGATAAAGATAGTACTAAGATACATAGATAATTTCTTTTTGGCAATGAAGAGATCATAACAGTCATCCCAGCTGGATGTGACAGCTAAGTCACTCTTAGAATGACATCTAAGAATGTACTGGATGCAAAAGTTAACTGTCTTTGGTTTTGAAACACATCCAGATATGAAGAATACCACACCACAACCCCATTTTGTTTTGTATTGCCAGTGGATTTTTTTCTAGAAGACACACCATTGGAAGTTATGTGTACATTTCTGCTGAAGATAAATTGGAGAATAGTCTTCAACACAGGTATCTGCATTCTTCACATCTTCAAAAAGGCAACCTGTAAAAGCAAGCAAAAAAAAATACTGCGATTAGTTTCAAGAGTGCAGGTAAAACAAAGATGTTTCATTGTATTAACTGGAATTACATATTATAATAATCTTTTTAAAAAAACCAACACACTAATGTAATGAGAGAGCAGAAGCTATAACTGAAAGCAGTGTTACTTTCCAACCACTTTTCTACCTAATAAGTCTCCTAAAAATTCCCAAGCTTACTCAAGCACTGCACTGGACTTGCTGCTGAACTACATATCAGAACCCTTTTTTTCCCCAGAGTAACAAAGCACAAGGTGTTCATCTTCTCTAACTTAAAAGGCTATTTGATAGCATTCTGAAACTAGCTTAGATTAAACCTTTGATACATTCCCCGTTTTGCCCGAATATTAGCTTGTTTGAACAGTGCTGCCACTATAAGTGAAATCTTGATTCCAAATTCAGGATGAAAAGTCCTGATGAAAAGTCCAAAGTCATAAAGAAAAAAAATGCCTTACATTTTAAAATGATCAGGAACCAAAATCCTACCCTAGGGGAGAAGACAAATACTTGTATATGATCAGAAGATAGCAAATGATGTACCTCTTCTTTTTAGTGCACTAAGTGGACTGTCACGTCTAACAGCTATTTAGAGGAAAGGTGATCTATCAAATACAAGAGACCTATAGGATTTCTGGTGTCCCAACTCATTTGTTCTTGGTCACATGCATGCAGCAGTTTCCCCTGCATGGTTTTGTTTTTGTTTAGCCTTCTTCAGAACCTGCAGGATACTAACTCAGAAAG